TGGCCAAGCAGGGGGTGTCAAGGGGAGATCTATTTTGGGCTACTTTGTAATTGTGTCTCAGGCTTGGGCAGTTTTGGTGTATATGGTTCAGTCCTAGGGGGGGTAACATCTCGTGCCTCCTCCTAGACTGATTGCATTTCTGTTATTTGATTTAATAAAATTACTCTCATTTATCAAAAAAAAAAAATGTTGGGCTGATTATTGTGAGAATGCACAATTGAATCTCAGAGCAGCCACTTTGTGCTAAAAATGCCTGAGATTAGGTCCCTATAAAGTCCACCCTGCCTCGGACCCCAGATGGCAGGGTTAATGGCCTTTTTCTTTTGGTAATAGCTAGTAATCCTTTGCCTTTTGAACTGAAAAAAATGCCAATCTGGTTTGTAGGATTCTATTTTTTGTAAAGTTGTAAGTTCATAGCTCACTGGCACAATGCTTCCTGCTTCAACCGTGAGGTCATGATTTCAGTCCCCATTTATGATAAAAATTAAATTTGGACTGCAGCTGACTCCAGACTATATTGGAGCACAGCTGAGGTCTAGAAATTTGTTTGAAATGTAATTTAGTTTTGGGGCCTTGCTCTCTGTAATGTTGCTCCATTTCTGGAGCCCGTCTGTATTCTCTGCTTCTTTTAATAAATTTACCTTACCTTCTTTCAAAAATATAAATAGATAAATGAGGGACATAAACCTTGTTTGTATTTGTGCCATATTAGGTACCCTGCAATCAACAAGCCTGCAGCAGTGCTTCATTGGCTTAATCATGCAGACATAGATGCAGAATTCATAGTTATTCTGGATGCGGACATGATACTAAGAGGCCCAATTACCCCATGGGAGTTCAAAGCAGCACGTGGTCGTCCAGTTTCAACCCCATATGAGTAAGAGATGAATGATATATATGCATTCTAGTCTGCATATGTTTATGTTTATGTGCTTTTCGTTTTGATCTTGGTATTCGCAATTATATATGAACATCTTCGTATGAGTAACAGTTGCTGTTGTATTGTCTTTATGCATCCTAGCTACCTTATTGGATGTGACAATGTGCTTGCCAAACTCCATACCAGTCATCCCGATGCTTGTGACAAGGTTGGTGGTGTAATCATCATGCACATAGATGATCTACGCAAGTTTGCTCTACTTTGGCTGCACAAAACTGAGGAGGTCCGAGCTGACAAAGAGCATTATGCAAAAGAAATCACTGGGGATATTTATGAATCTGGATGGATTAGTGAGATGTACGGTTATTCATTTGGTGCTGCACAGGTATGTTTTTACAGTACGATTGCTGCTTGTCTGCCTCCAGAATTTACATCTGATTCTAGTCTTCAAAGCTTACTTGAATGCTGTCTTTTATGCAGTTGAAACTCAGGCATATCATAAACAATGAGATCTTGATTTATCCAGGTTATGTTCCTCAACCTGGTGTGAACTATAGAGTGTTCCATTACGGGCTAGAATTTAATGTGGGTAATTGGAGCTTTGATAAGGCCAACTGGAGGAACACTGACTTGGTGAATACATGCTGGGCTCAATTTCCAGATCCACCTGATGCTGCAACACTCGACTCAACTGATGAAAACATTCTAAAGCAGGATCAATTGAGCATTGAATGTGCAAGGACACTAAATGAAGCTCTTAATTTGCATCACAAGAGGAATTGCCACAACCTCACTACAGAAACCACCTCAAAAAAACCTATGCTTAGGAAAGTTGGCAAGTTTCTTGAGATATCAAAAGAAGTAAGAAGTAGGATACATCCAATAACTTCTTCAAAAGCATCATCTCTACCTGCTGCAAATGAACAGATGTTTATGTCTTTAAGGGTTTGGATAGTTGGTCTATGGGCCTTCTCTATCTTGGGCTTCGTAGTGGTCATGTCACTGGTGCTGTCTGGCAGAAAAGGTGAGGGAACAAGGTATAAAGTTTATAAAAACAAGAGAAGAATGTCTTATTCCGGATTCTTGGGTGCAACATGATAGGCATCTATCTAGTGCTGGAATATCAAAATCATGATCTGTCGAGAAAAATGACAAAATGAAAAAATCTAATGTACTGAGTAGGGAACATCTAGTTTTCCACAACAGGAAGCAGTCTATAGGAATCTCATCCTTTCATGAAAAGGAAGGGAACACGGTTGAGGAAAAGAACAAGGACATCTTTGAGTAGAATCTCTCCATCTCTATGGTGAAGACAGGTGTGTATAATGGTGACTGTTTTTTTCTTGTTTCCGCATAAAGTAATGGGTATGGGTTCCATCAATATTTCTTCACGAAATTTGAGTGTACAATGTCAAATCCAAGTGACCTGATATCTAAATGTAGTCATGTACCAGACATGTTCACAGATTCCATAGCCTCTTCTAGAACAAAATATACAATCTTAATTTTATTTTCAATGGTTGGAAACTTGGAATACCCTCTTAGCTACTTAAAATTGTTTTAGTTTTCACTGTTTCATAATTATCTGTTTCTACTGCTCCTTTGGCAGCACACTATTATAATAACCAATGATAACACTTTCAAGGTTCAGATGCCAAACACATTTAGGTGTAAAGTGTCAGAGTATGCCCCATTGCTTTTTCCATTCTCACAAGTAGGAATTCTTGTGTATGTTTGGTTGCTTGGTGAACCAAAGTGTCGGACCACAGCAGGGCCTCCAAGTCTCAAGGTCCAGAAACCGGAAGCAAGCTAAGGCGCTCTGTGCTCATTCATGGATTGTGCCAACTGGCTAAGGAGGTACCTCTCTCTGAGGATTCACCATTCATCCACGAGAAGAATTCACCTACAGAGTCCCGAACTCCACATTGGTTGAAGACAATATATGTATCTTAAGGCTCTAAAGCTCCAAAGAAAAGATGAAGATCATATAAATAAAATGGTTGACCATCCTGATATTTTTTATTTGGCATCATCTTAGGTTGGACTCAGTGGTGGGTCCCGAATCATGCAATCGATTCAGACCATCTATCAAATAGGGGAAGGGGACCCAATGGCCATTGAATTAGCCACGTATTCAATCGATCAAGTGTTTGAAAGTCATCCATGAGAGACCTTATTGTGATCACTTGGCAAACCGACGTTTTATAGTACCGTTTGGGAGGGCTTTCGGGATCATGGTTTTTAAAACTGACTCAGAGACCGAACCGGTCAGGGTCCGGTTATCGGGTTGAATGGTCTGACCGTCCAAATCGAACAGTTGGCCCGTTCAGACAAAAAAATAAAAAAATTAAAAGAAAATAAAAATGGTCAAAACGGTTCGAACGGTTAACCAGCTGGGTCAGCGGTTTGCTGACAAAAATCAACAGTTTTTGAAGAAAATCCGGTTTTGGGGGGAAAATGGAACCGGTCACCTGACCGTTTCCCGGTTTTTCTGATCTGACCGTCCAGTCCAGTCCGGTTTTGAATACCATGTTTGGGATGCGGCTTCTGGCGTTCTGAGCTGAACTTGATATGGAAATAAGACTGTAATACAAAAGCTATTCTAAAGTAATTCCAACCCTAATCCTAATCAGAGCATCAACCCGACCCAATCCAATCTGTCTTTTTTGGGTTGGGTTAGGATTGGGTTTGAGTTAACCCGGCCCAAGTTGTAGTCTTAATTGCAATTCACCTCCAACGCGATGGACTCAAAACATACTTAACGGTTGACGGCATTTGGGCCTATCCTATGAGTTGCTTGGATGGATGATGCTAATCTGAAGGTTCTTTCACATGCCGATTACTGATTTACCAGATGCCAATAACCCAAAATTTGACTCCTACAAACAATCATGTGTCTTGTAAAGAGGGGGGATGATAGATTTGGGCACTGTGATCATTTTGGGTTGATCTCAGCCCAGTCCAAGACCCAAAGTCAAACTTTGGGCTCGGGTATATATATATAGGATCGTAGTGACTTGGATGGTTCGTCGCTTGCGACGTCACGAGAAGCCCATTGAATCTTATTATTTAGAGGAAGAAAAAGTCGTAACAAAGCTTTCATAGGTGAACTTACAAAAGAATCATTGTCGATGCTTACCCCACAGATCGACCTGTGAACATGTGATGCCCACAAGGGCTCTCAAGGGGTGGTCTTGGGGGTGTAACCTCTATGGCCATCTCTCATTTGCTAGGAATCGTTCTCGACACCTTGTCTTATGGCCTTCTAGCTAACAACCAACTCCAAAACGCGGATGACACCAAAGAATCTTTTATATATATATATATATATCTTGAGCTAGGTCTCGGGCCAACGGCCAATCCTAACCTAACCGAAACTGAGCATTGGACTTACTTTTTGGGCCAAGGCCGATAATAGATTCCTTAAGCTGGGCCTTGGGTCTGGCTGTAATCTGGGCCTCAAGCCGGGTCGGCCAGCATGCTCCAATCCAACGTAGGATGCTGGATGCACGTTGTTACTTGTTAGTTGCCTGGTTATGAATCTGGATTTCCTCCTCACACAGAACGGTTTCATACTCCACCTTACAGAACTTTTAGCCGTCCATAGGGAACATCTCCGGATCTCCCGTGATTGAAAACATATAAATAAATTCGAATGATTCCCGATGTACGGCTGCAACGTGGGGACCATCAAGCAGAAAAGGAAAAGAAAACTTTAGAACTTTATTAATTTTTTTCGCTGTAACAATTAAGAAAAGCTTTTTCAGAAATAGATGAGAGAGGGAACCTGAAATATCCGAAATATAAGAACATTTAATTTAACAGCAAAGAAAAAAAAACGCCGCCGAAAAAGCTTCCCTTTTTCCTGCACTACCCTCTCTCGATTTCCTTTTCCCGAACCCAAAGGCTTGTAATTCAAATTTTGAAGTGAATGTTCTTCAGTTTTGCTACTTTTACGGGAAGAGCAAGAGTAGAGGAACATCAGAGGAGGAGTTCAAACAGGACTGTGGTTTTTCATTAAGTCATGGGGGAATCAGCTTGTCTCATGCAATCTTTCTCTCATGCTTCTGACACCACCAATGAAGCCAAAGAGGTAACGACTAGAAAAAAAAAGCGCCCATTCACTTCTCTCATTCTCAAGTTCCTGTTAATGGTTCCTCATGGTTGGTTGGCCAACGAGATGCATGCCATTTTAGACATGGCCCTTAATTTAACTTCTGACACCATCAATCAAGCATTCTTTTTCTTCTTTTGATGGAGAAGAAAAAAAATACATGGCCCTTAATTTAACTGCAAGGTTCTGCTGAGGGATTTACCTGATTCATGGAAATTCTGCAATTTCATGAAATACGGAATGGTTAATTATGCCTTCTCTCCTGCATGTGCTGTTTTAGCTGTAGTTTTTCTCTGATGGGTATCTAATGCATTTGTTCTTCGTAAGTTATTTCCTCCCAATGCAGCTTACTACGGGTTCTCCATGTCTGGTCTGTGATTTGCAGCCTTTTTTTAGTTGCAAACGGTTACTTGATGTTTTTTAATTTCAAATACACGACTATTTCTTATTTTTATTCCTTAGGCAGAACTTCCTGTGATCGTTGCGACTTTATTCTGTGATTCTGTTATTGATTTGTAGGTAAATATATGTTTTTCGAGATTGATTTTATTTGCAGTTGGCGATGGATATTTGGCCGTGTAATCAGTGAAATGTTGTGTTACAGGGGAACCCCGTACATTCTCTTGGAGAATCAATCTCTTTTGGAAGGTTCATGTCAGAGTCCTTAGACTGGGAGAAATGGTCATCGTTCTCTCACAACAGGTACTTAGAAGAGTCTGAGAAATACACGAGACCTGGTTCAGTGGCTCAGATGAAAGCATATTTTGAAGCCTATTACAAGAGAACTGCTACAAAGAAGGCAGTCCCCTTGCTTGACCAAACAAATGTTGCAGCTAATAATGCTCCCCAACCAAAAATTGAGGATGGAGCTCAACAAAGTGTTTCCCTGGATGTCAAGTTGGAAGGGTCTAACAGCCATGTCAGAATTGATGAGACACAAGTAGCTGAGGCCCAAAAAGGTGAGGCAAGTTCCACCTTGGATCTGAATGGATATAACCGTATTGTTGAAAAAGATGAACTGGAAGCTGCTAAGGTAGAAATTGCAGATAAGGTGATAGAAGACCAGGTTGTTGAGGAGAATCACATGCTTCTTACTTCACCAAACCAGCTTGGAGATGCTGGCAAGCTGAATGAAGTTGCTAAGATGGAGCCTTCTGGAAGCATCCAAATGGAGAAATCACCTGTAAAGGTAAGTATTGTTTTACTTCTCTGGTTTTTGTTTTTCACAGCACGATCTAATTGCAACCACTCATTGCTTGTATATGTTCCAGGAGATTATTTCTGCTAATCAGGAGACTTTGCCTTCAGCAACCAAGACAAAATCTAGTTTTTCTTCCTCAAAACCATCACTTTACAGTAGAGCATCTAAGGCTCCATCTTCCCCTGTAAAATTCACAACCCCGGTGCATACAAGAAAAGAAAATAGTGCCACTCCAAAAAACAAGAAGTCTGCAAGAGACTTGACGGATAAGAAGCGATCAACTCCAAAATCACTTTGTATGTCAATCAATTTCACTCTATCTTGTGCTTGTGGAACTAACAAATCCTCTCCAGTTTGCCAAGGGATAGGGGATTCAAGACTGACGGGAAATTCATCTAAAACAGCTAAATACCAGTCAACTGTTTGTACTTCAGATAGGGTGTGTACTCCAAATTTGCCTTCAATGCCTTTGTATATTCTTCAGAATCCAAAGTTGCCATGCATGCTAATTAGCTTCATTTCAAACCACAGGCATCTACAAAGGGGTCACCACAAATTCCTTCACTAACCCCTCAATTGGAAAATAAAAGGTATTTCACCCAATTCCATAATTATGCCTCCAGATATGCATAATTCCTTAATCTGTACCAACTGCACTACAAGATGAAACTTTTTCTTGCTTTAACATCAGTTATATGAAACTTTTTTTGCTTTAACATCAATTATGACTGTACTGGTTTACAGGATTAGACTGACACTTGATCATGGTGTATCTGGAAGCAGAAAAGCTAATTCTCTTACACAGTCCCTTTCTGTAGAGTAAGATGTTTGCTTGCTTCACTCTTACATGGTTCTTGTTCGTCTAAACTGAAATTTACTTGACAGTTGCTCCAGGATCAGAACACGATCCCCAACTGTATTTTCTCCTTTTAGTCTCAGGAGTGATGAAAGATCCACAAAAAGAAAGGAGGCAAGGATTCCTTAATTATTACACTGAATGTGCTATATTTATGCCAGTTAATCTGTTATTCATTGTTCTTTCTGTATAATCATTTGATTTTTCCAATACATTCAGAAGTTGGAGAAGAAACTCAATACCAATGAGGGGCAAAAGATGCAGCAATCCAAGGTTTTTTCCTTGCCAAGATTTATTATAGCCTTGATACAAAGTTTCAAATCAATGCTGTCTCTCTTCTTTTTAAATATATCAATTTCATTTGTACCTGCAACTCAGTGAAAAACTGAGCACCTTGACTAAGTTTCTTTTTGTTTTACAGGAAAAGGCCAAAACTGAACTCAAAAGATTACATCAGAGCCTCAGCTTCAAAGCCAAACCAATGCCAGATTTTCGTGAGACAGAACTACCAAAGAATCAGATTAAGAAGGTATCCTTTTCTATCATGTTAGATTACATCGCACTTCCTGGTTCTTGTTAATTGATGGTCACATTGACTTAACTACATTTGGAAATTGGAACTACTGTTGATACTTGAAGAGGAGGTAGGTTTTCTAGTATTTTCAAAGATAGATGTTAGTCCCCACAAATCATGAAGTTCATTCTCTTAGTTGTGCTTTATTACTAACTCTGTTGGTAAATGTGCTTTCTCTTTTCTCCCAAAGGTGTATGTACTCTCTCTCTCTCTCTCTTGTTATATCTGCACGTGTGTTGTTGTCTCCTCTTTGGCAGGGGTTCATAGATGTTTCCTACTTGAGCTTTAAATTACCTGATCTTCTAGGAAAGTTTCATTTCTTACAATGCTCTTACTGTTTGAGCTCTGCCATGGTTCAAAGTATACTCTGGATACTCTTTTTTTCTTCATTAAGATTTATTCACAGATAGATATATTAGGACATTTATTAATGTACCTGTTAAAATGCTCTAACTATCAACATGTAACATTTTGGTGACCCTGAAAACTTGATACATATCATATGATATGGTACCATATGTATCAAAACTTTGAGCCTTGAGCTCTGCTTAAAGCCAATCAAGAATTGTTGTCATTTTAATGCATATCTATTATCTCTTACAGATTCCACTAACACATCCTCGATCACCCAAACTTGGAAGGAAGCCAAGCTATGATACGGTCCAGGATGCAAGCTCTCTGCTTCTTCCAAGGCCTCCTGTCAAGAACAATAACTGCAAGCATGTTATGGTAAAGAACATCAGAGGCCAAGTTTGTTCTGTAACTTTGTTACATGACAAGAATGCCCAGGAGAATTCTTCTCCAAATATCCAGCATTGAACAATAGGAGAGCTTCATGCATTGAATATTTTTTACCTGAACAGTGCTATTGAAGAGCTGATAGTGAGGATTCTCATGTGAGGTTATCAATGGGAAATTTGCAATCTATGTTGGAGGTTGCTTTCTCCATTGAACAGAAGTGAAGTTTTGCATCAGATCCTTCTTTCCTTCATTTCCTAATGGAATGTATTATATTTAGGCAATCATAGAACAGATGTACAAAATAGCTACATGGTTTCCAAGATAATGAATATCATCGTGTATTTGGGTTAATGCCTATATAATTTGTTTATTTCTTTTTTGAATCAGATAAAAATGTATTCTTTTGGTCGTTAAGATAATAGATAATCCTAGTTGGTTCCCAGCCAACCTGCACCTGTAATTTGGGATTTGGGAAGCAACTCCACTGAGCCTAGAACAAAATCATCAAGAGCACAACTATTTAAGGCAGTAATTTATGTGGGGTTGAAATATAACATTTTCTTTTCTACCTGTAATCCCCTGTTTAACTGTCCAGAGTATTTAAAAAAAGGAGAGAGAGAGAGAGAGAGAGAGAGAGGAATGAGACCTCCCTACAGGCTTTGACTGAACAGTATGCAATTTCCAACTCCTTGTAAAGATTTGAAATTTAACATGATTTCTTCTATGTGGTTACTGGTTATACGATTACTTGCAAGTAAGAACAGAATAATTTTAGTAAAGAAAGAGTAATGGTATGTTTTGTCAGAAACAATTAAGACCTAAGAGGGTTTTAACTGTGACTTATATTTTTAATAATTTAATTTAAAATATAAATAACCACATGTCTGCTAAGTGAGAGGAGGGGGGTTCTCATGAGCATTAAGGTGAGAGGACTCTTGCCTCCTCTTTCCTCTATATAATATAGATATAGATGTATGTGCATGATGTGGACGCGTATTGGGAACAACAGCAGCAATGATCCGGTGTTCTCATCCTATCTAATTCGGCAATAACAGTCTTATCCATTCAGCAGATTAGATTAGACTATCTTGTTATTCTTATCTTATTAAGTTAGTAGATTAGATTATATTATCTTATTAGATTAGGATTAAGAGAGACTTATCTTATTAGATTAGGATTAAGAGAGATTATCTTATCTTATTAGATTAGGATTAAGAGAGACTTATCTTATCTTATCAGTCTTATCTTATCAAGATAGAGTTGGAGGTCTCCCTGTTCAGCAAGGAGTCTCCCTAAGAGCAGGACTCTTGTAATCTCCTATTTAAGGAGCCATTATTATTGAATAAAGGCATCCAAGAATTTCAACCAAGAGAAGAGTTGAGGAGAGTTAGGGTGATCTCTTGGGCAAATCACCCCTTAGGTCGCCACGATAGGGTCTGCACGCAAAGGGAGGGCAAGGGGAAGCTAGAGGTTCTCCCCGTGGACCGACCCGTGACGAAATCCTATGCCCGGACCCATAACATTTTGGTATCAGAGCAAGGCATCATGGGTGATCTGGAGCAGCTGCCGTCCAGGGTCCACGAACTCGAGCACCGGCTCATGGAGACCAGCTCGGAAGTACGGGAAATCAAGGACGAAGTCAGGGAGCTACGACGTCTGATGGAGTTATTCCTTTCTAGCAAAGAGAGGAACACAGAAGGGGTGACAACCACTAGCGGCCGCCGACCAGATCTGCCGGAGTCTTCCGGCGAACAGCAGTTCGACAACCAGGGGGCCACAGTCATCCCCAAGTACAACGGGTTAGAATTCCCATCGTACAACGGCAACGGAGATCCCTTGGGCTGGCTATACCGGTGCGAGCAGTTTTTTCGAAATCAACGGACAGACGACCGGGATAAGGTAAGCCTAGCCGCCTTTCACTTAACAGAGGAAGCACAACTTTGGCTCTATCGATTAGAACAGGAAGAACTTGGGCTCAGTTGGACCCAGTTCAAGTCCTACTACCTTCTTAGATATGGGCCCCCACTGACAAGCAACCCCTTAGGCGAGCTGATTAACCTTAAACAAACCGGCACGGTGGCAGAATACCAGTGCCAGTTCCAGACCCTCCTTGCGAGGGCATCTTCAGTGCGATCGGACCAGCAGGTAGACATGTTCACCGCTGGGTTAGTAGAACCCCTGCGGGTGGACGTGGAAATGCAGAATCCCCCCAACCTAGTTACAACCATGAATATAGCTCGCGCCTTCGAACGCAAACTACAACTCAGTCGCAGAACCTTCAGTATGGGGCGGCCTCCATCAGCATGGGCATCCCCGGAACCACTCGGAATATCTCCATATTCAGCAGCTAGCCAAGAACGGAAGCCACAAACGAGCAACAATTCCAGATCAGCATCCAGTATGGGGAGCAACGTCGTTGCACCCCTATTAAGCACTTGTCCAGGGCTGAGATGGTGGAACGCAGGGCGAGGGGACAATGTTTTAATTGCGATGAACTCTACTCAG